GGTAAGTCTACTGAACTCGAGCTTCCATGACATTATAGCTAGTATATGTCAGTCATATCAAATTATGTGCTTAATGCTTAAAAGAAAGGTACTATTCTGACAACACAGTCTTAGAGAGATAGAACTTGCTGCATGAATGGAATATACACTTTTACAGGCACCACTAGAGAAAAATGACTTTATCTTTGTACTTAAGGAAGATACATAGGTTTCCCAAATACAAAATTGTGAGCAATTGTGAAATGTACTGTTAAACAGAAAGAAATTATTGTTATTCCATGCCTTGTAACAGAAATATGTATAACATAACTTGATAATGGCAAAATTTTTATATCTAAAAAAAAGACAACAAATTAAAAACAATTGACCCAAAGTCCTTTTGACTGGAATGTGTTTTGTGTGATGTGCAACATGTACTGGTAGTAATAACTGTATAGGACTCATTTCATAAGGGAGTAAGCACATTACCATTGTGTTTAATATAGTGTTTCATGTAACATTTTATTCATACAAAGACCTACCAGTGGACTAGCCCCCTGCTGTAGTGACTGCTGTGTGTGCCCCAGGGATAATGAACAGAGATGGGTGCCGCCTTATGTGTCACGTGACGCGGGAAGGCTCTTTAACGTTAAAGGTGCCCTAAGCGATATCTGGCCGATAGTAGGCTGGGAGCATTAAATTTCAAAAGTCTGTCTTTTTGTCACATTTTCACGCAGTATGTTGAATCAACCCTATCCTATCCCATACCGATAGTCATGGAGCAAAAATTCGATGCCGCTTTGCCGTACGAACGCCGTGAAAAACTACGTGCCTCCCGCCACCGGCAGTGGTGTCGGCCATTTTTGAAATTTCCGAGCGCTCGCGAACACTTCCGACTTCTTCCGACCAGAGCCGAGGACGAGTCACGTGGTTAACCACGAACGCGCTGAATCAGTCGAACTGCAGGTCATCCTGAGTTTCCGCTACATATTGATACATTTCGCGTAATGTCATAAAATTCGTTTCCGTTGGTATGAGAAACTGTATGAATGTGGCTACCACATGCGATATAATAAGTGTTATGATAACATTCAAGTATATACAAAAAGAGGAATTGAATACAAGGTTCTGACCATTCAAAAATCGTCAAATTTGAAGTCAATCGG